AATTTTCTTACTTCAGAAATTCTTTCCGAAAATTTTCCAAAAATTTTCAGAAATTTTCAGAAATTTTTTCTGTACCTTCAAAAATTTTCCAAAATTTTCTGTAAATTTTCCAAAATTTTCCAAAATTTTCAAAAATTTTCCAAAATTTTCCAAAAATTTTCAAATTTCGAAATTTAAAAATTTCCAAAAATTTTCCAAAATTTTCCAAAATTTTTCCTGAATTTTCGGAAATTTTCTCCCAAATAAATTTTCCAAAAATTTTCCAAAATTCTGATATTTTCTCCAAAATTTTCCGAAATTTTTCCTCAAAATTTTCAGAAATTTCAAATTTTACAAAAATTTTCCAAAATTTTCTTATTTCCTGAAATTTTCCGAAATTTTCAGAAATTTTGTAAATTTCCAAAATTTTCCAAAATTTTGAGAATTCTTCAGAAAATTTTCCAAATTTTCCAATTAGAAATTTTACTGAAATTTTCAGAAAATTTTCAGAATTCTCCTTTCAGAAATTATGAAATTTCGCAAAATTTCAGAAATTTTCGAAGTACTTCAAAATTTTCCCAAATTTTCAGAAATTTTTCCAAAATTTTCCCAAAATTTTCCCAAAATTTCCAAAATTTTCAGAAATTTTTCCAAAATTTTCAGAAATTTTCCAAAAATTTTCCAAAATTTTCCAAAAATTTTCAGAAAATTTCCAAAAAATTTCAGAAATTTTCCAAAAATTTTCAGAAAATTTCCAAAAAATTTCAGAAATTTTCAGAAAATTTTCCAAAATTTTCCGAAATTTTTCCCAAATTTTCCCAAATTTTCCGAAAATTTTCCAAAATTTTCAGAAAATTTTCCAAAATTTTCCGAAAATTTCCCAAAATTTTCCCAAAATTTTCCAAAATTTTCAGAAATTTTTCCAAAATTTTCAGAAATTTTCCAAAAATTTTCAGAAAATTTCCGAAAATTTTCCAAAAATTTTCAGAAATTTTCAGAAATTTTTCCAAAATTTTTTGAAAATTTTCCAGAATTTTTCAAAAATTTTCCAAAATTTTCCAAAAATTTTCCAAAATTTTCCAAAAATTTTCCAAAATTTTCCAAAAATTTTCCAAAATTTTCCGAAAATTTTCCAAACTTTTCCGAAAATTTTCCCAAATTTTCAGAAAATTTCCAAAATTTTTCAAAAATTTTCCATAATTTTCC